GAATGAATAGAAGGGGTAGTAGCACTAGACATCTTCCAGGCATGTGAGTAAAACTAGAAAGGTTAGAACAGGTTCTGATCAATTATTGATTTGTGATGCCCAATCTTAAATAGAGAAATCTTAAAGCCCAAATTGAATTATAACTTTATGATAACAGTCATTATTGTTGGAAGCCTTATTAACAGTTAAGGAAAATACATTTATTACATTTATAATGCGTTTAAAAGAAAATGGCAAAATTCCCTTTACTCTCTTTGATGCCAGTATTATGCACACAAACAAAGTATTTGGCTTTGGGTTGAAGAGCTTACACATTTTTGTTCACATCTAAAATAGTCCTTGTTGAGCGAGAGGCTAACGGTTTGGTTTAGGGTTAGATTTTTTAACCGAGTCTGAACTTGAATAGGAGGGAGTATCAGTGGAGGGAGCTATGGATTAGGGTGATGGGAAGGAGTCCCTCCAAGCTTATAAACCAACAGCTCGCTGCTAAATATATTTTCTAAAACAAAAAAAAAAAAAAAAATCACAAATACCAGCACTAACATGTAAGGTTTTAGTTTCTTTGAAGTAGTTTTTTACCCCACTGCATATTGAGTATTTTATTTCTTTCAATGGTGTTACTCTCATGATTTATTAGAAAGATGCTTGCGAAAAAATATTGCTTTGAAACTTAATCTGCCAGTGTTGGAAATAACTTCAGGTTTAACTGTAACATTTGTAGTGCATCAAGTCTGTCAGTGCAGTCCTTGATTTCAGTTGAGATTCTGTTCAAAATAAAGATGTTTGGAAACATGTTTTGACTTGTAATTTGCACTGCCATACTTTAAATAATGTGTTTTCCTTGTAGTCTTTATTGAAAAAGATTATCACTTTTCTATTTTGTTTTTTAAACCATTGACAGTTTTACCTCATTTGTATCATCTTTTTGGTTAACAAAAGTGCTACAATAATTGTGGAAAGAAATGAAGCCTAATGTTATTCAACATTGTGCTAAAATACATTTTGCTCAGTAAATGCATTTTGTTTTTCTCTCCACCTCTTTTTTTAACTGCTGCAGAATAATTGAGTGCAAAGAGCTGCCTTTGATCAGTGGCCAGAACTGTGACCCATATGCCACCGTGTCTCTTGTTGGACCTGCCAGGTAACTCTGCTAATGCCGTACACAGATAGAAGGCAGCTAAGCTGTTCTCACCTCATTTAGACAGGATTTGCATTTCATAAAGAGGCATCTTTTTTTTTTATTTAGGCTGAGGGGAATATTATCTAATGCTAGATTAAGCATCTGCTCTATCTACATGTAAAAAAAAGTTACATGTTGTTTTTATTGTGGTTTTGAATACTTGTATTCTATATGCAAAATAAGACTAAAAATAGCTTCCCAGTATTTTGTCTATCAACATTTTTTTGTTTTTGCTAACTAAAGGACTTAAACTAATGGAAAACATAACAAAAACGATACAAATCATAGCCTCTACATATTCACTCCTGCTCACGTCCTTAAGACAAAACTGTATTTTATTATTTCCAAACAAAGGAAAGCAGGAACAGAAAACTCATTTTGTAATATACCACAACATCTGACCAAGTTACCTAACTGCTTGAGCCGTCTCTACTGTAATGGAGTTTGATATATTTTGTGAAACCTGTAATACTGCTTTAAAATCAAACAGTTCTTACTGCACTATTAGCTCTGTAGAAATATTCTGAATTTCCCTCAGAAATTAAACTCAGTGTTGTAATGTTCTATATAAAAAGGTGCTCAAAAAACTATACAGGCCATTTTTACACACATTTATTTAGGGATCCCCAATAAAACAAGCAGCAGGAAGAAACAAATACCCAATGTTAGTCCTTTTTTTTTTTCACTGATCTGGAACAAAATAGTTCTCAATACTGGAAGAAAATAGTCACAAAACAGTAGAAGAACCAAAAGCATTGATAAGAGCGGAAGAAACCGGGCTGCATGCAGCCAGGAATGATTAAATACAGAAACACACCACTTCTGTCCAACTCTACAAGCTCCGATCCGTTTTCTTCCAAACATAAAGGCTTCTTGTGAGATAAAGCGTCATGTGAAGGTATGCCAGTTTGACTAAACACAAAACAGCAGTTGCTGCTTGTGCTAGCTTAAACCTCATTTACATGTTTTCTCTATACTTTTGCTCCCACACTGTTTATTTAAATGCTTTACATGCGTTGATGTCGGTCAGACGGGCTGTATTTACACAAAACGCTAACTTAGAGCTGGATTACCAATTATTTATGTCTTGATTTGACCATCTTATTGGTACGTTACCCAAGGCAAATGTGTTTTACTTTGCCAATCCAGACATGAAGGAAAGGTCTCCAGGATGGATTGAAACCCAGTACAGCTGCGTCAAGAACTAGGGTCTCTTTCTATGAGGCGATGACCACCAAACCCCTGTGTTGAACTATGATCTTGAATTCTATACACCTACAAGTCTACCTGTACTATTTTTAATACCATGAGAACTATCCAAATCTATTATGTTTTGCTTGTATGTTATCAGTTTACTTAGCCATAAACCATATAAGTCATTCCTAAGGATCCTCATCTTTCTGCCTTGGGTAAAGTACCAATAAGATGGTCAAAGGAATGCTTTGTCCAATCAGTCCTTTGCCATTTTAAATTCTTGGCAAAATATTTCGAAACATTTTGGTCAATATGAACTAAAATCCCCTGCAGGCCATATGTCAAAGCAAGAGTCCAAAACTGAGAGGTGTTACCGTTGTTATAACAGTGGTGTAAATAAATACTGGCAACTGTTTTTCATGTTAAATATTAGGCCATATAGAGCTAAATCTAATCTCCTTGCTGACATTATTCACCAATTAAAGCTTGTCAGCCACTTTTAGCGAATTATGTTCCAGTTCTTTTTAGACTCCCCTGAGCATCGGAACTGGTTGCCTTTCTAGCAGAAACACTGAACTCTTTCACCCCACTGAATAGAGACTAAGCTCATGCATATCCAGGTCTTGTCGCTGTGCCTTGGTGTGGAATGCTTTTAGGCTTGTTTTTTTGATATAATGTTTAAGTAGTGCAAAAAAATTAGATGTGCGTGACCTTAATTGATTTGTAGTGCTGATGCCTGAGCGTATTCTGCGTGATTGTGACAGCCAGATCAAAAATATGCGCACTGTTGCCTGCAAAGCAATTTCACATCGATTTCTCAGCATTTTTTCACATGTAAACATTTTAGAAGACTTCTTCCTGGACTGCATGTTTGAAATCCGTTTGTTTCTATGTGGCGCTGTTAGGTCAGACCAAAAGAAAACGAAGGTAAAGAAGAAAACCAGCAATCCATATTTTGAAGAAACCTTTTTCTTCGAGGTAAATCCTTCATGGTTTAATTTTCACACAATCATATTTATGATGGATTAGTTATTTGGATGACTATGTAGTAATAACGATATTGGTTAAGTCTTAACCTGCTTGTCCACAGGTCACACGGTCCAGCAGCTACTCAAAAAAGACTTTTCATGTGGAGGAGGACGACATTGAAAAGCTTGAGATAAAGTGAGTTTCATTTTAACCATGACAGCTATTCTGTTTCCCCTAAAAGTCTAGACAAAAGAAAGTAAAATTCATCCCTAGAACTTATGATGAAAACATGAAATTACCTGGGTGTGTTTCTGACCGCTGATGGAGAGCCTTGTTTTCTGGTTAAAGATATGTGAGGCCTCCATCTCAGTGCAGCCGTAGCTCAATGGAGAGAGTAGAGAGGTTAAAAGGTAAACTCTCGTGCATGGTTTTGAGGTTTGAATTTGAGGTGGTGTTGTTGCACTGGTATTTTATTTTTAGTTCCTATGCTAACCGGAGGTAAGCACCACTCAGTACTGCCTTGTCCTTTGGAGTTCCTCTTGCTGTATCAGAACTGGCTGGTTTATGTTTGAGTGATGTTAACCACAGTTGATGTCCTGCACAGAACCTGAAGAACAGTGATGGATGATCAGCGTTCTGCTTGTTTACATCATCTGTCTTTGCAGAGTGGATCTGTGGAACAATGAAAATCTGGCTCAGGACGTGTTCCTCGGAGAGACGAGAGTTCCTGTCAAGATCCTGCGAAGCGACCACATCCACAAAGCCTGGTAAGGGCCAGCCAAAAGAGGAGGACTAGGTGTTTAACTTTTTACTAGTCAGGGTAGTTTACCATATCCTTCACCCATAGGTTCAAACAGATTCATACTAATGTGTTTTTACTTTGAGAAAAATGATGTTTAAAATTGACAACTTATCAGATATTAAGTGGTTTTATTATTAATTATGTTTATTAATTTTATCTTGATTTATACTAAAGTGTTGTTGGAAAACAAAGTTTAATGCATTTTTAAAAAAAAGTTTTATTTGGACCAATATGAAGAATCATGTGCATTTTTATAGCCATTTGTTTTCAAATGGTTTTTGCTTTAACTGAATAGTTTTTTGCTACTATTTATATGTAAAGCTTCATAAATTAGCTTTGTACTTCTGCAGTCTGAAATTGTCACCAAACATCTTAGTATAATAGTCTTGCATACATTCCTCTGTTCTTCAGGTCTTTCACTGGGTCATTATGATAAACCGGTCAAACCATAAAAGTCATTACTTAGTTCTGGCTCATTTTCTGTCTGTTTTCCTTGTGTTTTACTAATGACGTGTTTCTATCAAGATTTCTTTTAAGCACATTTAAAGTTTCACATCGGAAAGGCTTGATGGAAACATCAAAATTTAAACCAACTTCCTAAATTTGGGGAAAACGTTTTTATGCTCACTTGAGGAGGTTTTTGATTATTTCAAGAAAATTGTAAATCCACTAAAAAAGTGGGGGAAACATATTTGTAAAATAAGTTCCGACATTCCAAACATTTACCTCGCATGACTGATCAGCTGTGTCTGCTGCCGGCATCCTACCTGGCATGCAAGCATTAGAATCTCTAATACTAGCTGACATGTTAAATAAAGCATAACATGTCCGATTGCAACACATTCATAAAAACCTTTTGGTCCACGCTAGTTTTCTACCTCAACTTCCAGGTTATTACAACCAAGCTCGATGTCAATTCATTTCTGGTAATTTGCTGCAAGCTGAAAGGAAATACCTCTAATCCTCACTTTCTGCTTTCAATATTTGAAAATTTGGTCAAAGTTATTATGAGAACTGGATGGACACATGGCTATGGTGTATGTTCAGTATTTTTCTACAATCCATAGCATTTTTTTCTTTTTTGCCTCACCTGATCAGAGGACCTTAATCCACATCTTGTCTCCTACATAACTTTTGGCAAACTGCCAAATAACTGCTATTTAAATTAAAATTGTCAATGCACAAATAATAGTGTTCATCCCTGTGCAAATCCTCGGTCATATGGGTCATGGCAACCACAAAACAGTTGTAATATTTTTGATCATTACGTTACAAGCTCCTCCCATCTGACATCTGAGTTTTTTTTGGGTTTTTTTAGATTAGGGCTTTTTTCCCTGGCGCCTCAGGCTCTGTACGCTGGAGAATCCCATACTGTGTGACTTTCTGCTTCCTTGCATTAAATTCAAACACATCACCCTTTCAATGAATTTACAGCAGGTTGCAGGAATTGCCACACTTAGAGACGGATTATAATGTCTGTGACACTGAACAACCATAGGCTGGCTTAATTCTTTTTGGATGAAAAAAGCAGCTTTGTTATGTCGGTCATGAGCCTGATGCAGCTCAAAGGCTACTTCGGTTTTTTATCTTGTTTTAAAGAAAACTGTGCTCTCTGGAATACAGTCTAATTTGATAAAAGCGCTCCCTTCATGGATTTGTTTTGATTGGAAGGCCCTCTATTTATCTTTAGGGCCCAGGGGCCTAACATTTGAGTGAAGCCTGTTGCTGCTTTATGGTAGTTTATTAGTTTGAGTTTTTGTGGATAAAATGGTAAACAGTGAGAGCTTGCTATTAAACCACAACCTCCACATATCACACATTTCAGGACAACGTGTTCTGCCAAGTTTTAGAGCTACTACAAGGTGACTGAAGGAACCTTCCCAGATATCTGTGTTCAGCAGTTTTCCTTTGTGTGGATGAGGCCCAGCTTTGCGTCGGACTAGGTGATATGGGATTATGCCAGATAGCAATCTGTTGGTACATGAAGGCGGCGAGTGTAGTGCGTGGGTGGCTCTTTGCATGGTGGCATTACCTCATGTCCTGTGTTACCTCATAGTCCAGGCACCATTTTTTTTTTTTTTTGTAGAAAACAACATTGTACATGATCATCTGAAGTGTGTGTTTGCTGTGAGTCCACATTCAGTTTACCTGAGCATTGGCTGTGAAGGTGGCACTTTGCTCCATCACATGAATTCTTAATTGGTCTAATATGTGTAATATATGTATCATGGGAAGTTTTATTTTTCTCAACTGGTTTAAATTGGAAGCTTTGTTTAGAAAAACACATTGACAGTGCCGAGTTTCTGAATTTCCACCAAAACTTTGATCAATGTTTCATGATGAAACGATAACAGTGAGAAAATCAGAAAATAAAAGGAAATTAAAAGATAAACTGTACTATACATATTACATGGAATCTGTGATGAGGATGAGAATTACAACTTTATTGTTGAAATAATTGGAATAAGATTGGTTTACCTCTTCCAAACAGCAGTAGTACTTTAGTCAGAAGAAACCTGTTCTTTTTTTAATCCAGAACTTATTGTTTTTGCATTTTTACGTTGTTTTTTTTAACCTAATGTTTTTCTGTTGAACTGTAGCCAAAAGGCTTTAAATTCATTTTAATTTGAAAACCATTTAAAAATGCTCTAAAAGCAAAGTGTTTTTTTTTTTCATTTTGAATCCCTGAAATTCTTGATGCCATTTTCTGAATATTGTAGAAGTCCCATCAAAGCATGAATTTAACTGATTATAAAGGTTTTTTCAGATCTATCCAGCATTTAATCTTCTTCTCCTCCTCTATATCTTGATCTCAGCTCAGAGTTACTCATTTTGTCCCACATGTAGTTGTTCCTGCAAGAACAAGGGGTCCATGTTCTTGTAGGAGCATGAGGTTTTGGTTTAATAGCAAACTCTCACTGTTTACCTTTTTATCCACAAAGACTCAAACTAATTCATTTAGGACTGATTCTTAAGAAAAAAAACGTTTTTTTTATTCCCATGCAACTCTGTAATTTTTCTTTCTTTCTGATTCTAGGTATCTCCTCCAGCCCAAAGGGACGGGCAGCAAATCGAAGTCTGATGATTTAGGGCAACTACGTTTAAAGCTCAATTACATCGAAGACACGGTGCTGCCCTCTGCCTGCTACACACCTCTCTGCAATTTGCTGCTCAAATCCCCCGATGTGAAGGTAGGACCCTCAGCTGAAGCAACAGCTGAACCTGAACCGGTGGTCAATGCAGCTTTTAGTAATCAATGTCGATCACTTACTGTTTTCCTTCTCTTTCACTTTCCTCCTGCTTTTTGACCCTTGCAGCTCCCTTAAGCCCAGCTTCAGTTTTTTTTTTAACCTTCTCAGTTTTTCCGTTGATGTGCTTTTTGTTCTCCTTCAGCCAATCTCGGCATCAGCAGCTCACATCTTGGGGGACATATTCAGAGAGCGCTACGAGGCCGTCCTGCCCATGGTTCGATTGCTGCTGTACCACAATCGCTTTGTGCCTTTTGTCTCTGCTGTGGCCGCGCTAGAGCTGGACAACACTCAGTGAGTCACCTTTTCTTTTTTGCTCAGTTAAAGCAGACATAGAAATTTAATTTGGAAATAGTTTGAGTAAGGATGATTGGAAGCGTCCTTTTCGTTTGTCATATTAGTGTAAGTTTGGATCGATACGAAACAGGAAGTAGCAGAGAAATTGAAAATAAGCTTTCAATTTAAATTTCCTTCAGGTTTTTTTTTAATTAGAGTCTTTGTATGTTTAGATTTATCTGTTAGGCGTCACATTGCCTTGTTTTTTGTTATGGATGTGCATCTAATAGTCTTTCTTTTGCCGGTGCAGGGAGGCTAACACTATATTCCGAGGCAACTCGCTGGCCACTCGCTGCATTGACGACATGATGAAGATAGTGGGAAAGAGTTACCTGGCTGTTACCTTGAAGCCTGTTATTGATGAGGTATGAATAAGAGACAAACTCAAAGAATCAGACACACTCGTAATGAAACCACAACGGGCTTTAATTAGTAGGTCAGGACCAAAAACATCTGCTAACACAGCTGCATTTCTGTGTCAAACTTGCCAATGTGTAAATGTTAGTAGGTTTGAGGTCTAACCTGTCGCTATATCCAGTCTGGAAGCCCAATTTATGACTAAAAGGATCAATTTACTTTGAAGGCAAGATTAAAATGTTTTTTTTTTCTTTTCTATGATTTGAATGTCTGTCGCCTCCCTGCTCTTTTTTAGCTTGGTTAGAAAATCTATCCTTGCTCAGCAGATGGGTTACTTATTTTCATACAAATAGACACACAGTCACATTTTTTGTCAAACTAGTCGTGGACATCAACTAGTGTGCTCTGCTGATGTTTCCATTAGGCCTGCAACTAATGATTATTTAGCTAATTATTTGAACTGTTTATTATTATTTCAAATAGTCGATTAATAATCAGATTACAAAGGATTCCTAAAAGACCGATGTTTGAAAATCTGCCAATTGAGGAGTTCTGAATAGAGTGCATTGAAGGAGAAAGGTTTATCATCTTTAATGCAAAATCTGTATATGTTTTTTTTTTTTTTTTTTTTACTATTTTGGTGTTTTTCTGCTCTGAGTGGATTACTCTGTCAGCTAATGGTATGTTTTAGAGTCTCTGTACTCAAGTTTACCCTTCATTAATTACTAAATTAGTTGACGGTTAGTTCAATTATTTATTAATCACGATTAATCTGATAACTTGTTTCAGCTCTAGTTTCTTCTAAAATGTATTTAGCCATTCCTCCCTGATACATAAATTATGAAAGCCTGAATTTTAATTTTTATTTGTCTCTATTCTTTTAAGTGCATGATTAAAAACTACATGACCTGTTAGACATGCATTCAACAATTCATGACTTCCAATAGATGGACACATACTTACAGGACTGAATATATTGTTATCTATAGTTTTTTTTTCCCCATTTACAGTTCATTAAACATGCACAAGAATCTTTTTTTTTCTATATTTCAAAAGTTTGCTTATTTAAAAGTGTTAATTTGCTAAAAGTATCAATAAATTATTTTCAATAGCTGCATTTCTACACACTCAGTCATTAATTACAGTTTCCTACCTATATTTAAAAAAACATTACTTGTACTGGCCCTCTCCTTTAAATTGTTATATTTTACTTTAGAGTTCGCCTTGATACAAAGGATTTACAGGATATTGCACTAACGGTCAACAAATGCGGCCGTCTGTCAGCCATCTTGGGTTGAGGCGAGGTTCACTTGTAGTTACAAGTAACGACTAAACAAACCCAGTTATTTAGAACAGTAGAATATTTAGTACATGTTGAGTTCCTCCAAACGTTCAGACACGGTGGGATCACTCATTACAGATCTTAGTGCCAAGCTCTGACTGTAAAAGAATCTGTTTTAAAAATAAGTCTTTGGCAATAAAGGAAAACTCTGTTTATGCTTCACCCCTCATGTCTGACTCCACCGTGTCCTTCCTTGTGTGCTGATTAGTCTTCTTGTTTCCTTTTTCATAGATTTGTGATTCCAACAAAACATGTGAGATAGACCCCATTAAACTGAAGGAAGGGGACAATGTGGAGGTCAACAAGGTAAGTCTCATTACTGTTTTTTTTTTTTAGGTATAATAGAAAAGAAGGTTGAGGTAATTGATTCACACAAAAAAAAAAAAAGATAATTCCATTTAATATTTTTTTCAATGATGTAGAACAATTTGTTTTACAACTTTTGCAGGAAAACCTTCAGGTTTATGTCCAGAAGGTTTTCTCCTCAATCACCCAGTCGAGCTCCAACTGTCCCCCCCTCATGTGTGACGTCTTTAGGTCCCTCAGACACCTGGCCTGCAAACGCTTCCAAGGTAATGCTCTAGCTAAAGCTGATTATAAATGATTTTATACTTCAAAAGTGATCAAGCTTTCAGAAAGTTGCCTGTTTTCCCCTCTTAAGCAATATAAGTTACCTTTTATTGAAAATATACCTCAGCTTAATTAATTTTAGAACTATGCTGTTGCAAGTGAGTTATTGGTTACATCTGCCAGTAGGGGGAGCCAAATCATGCGGATTGCACAGTCTTTGTTTTGGTTCCCTGTTCTTTTTTGGTCACAACAAATTTCTTCTGTTCATAGGTGACCCACATGTTCAGTACTCGGCTGTGAGCAGCTTTGTGTTCCTGCGCTTTTTTGCCGTGGCCGTTCTCTCCCCACACTCGTTCCAGCTCCGATCCCATCACCCTGTAAGTGCAAAACTTCTAGTACCAGGTTACTCCATGTGCTGCTCTGTAAACGGACCTCATGATGCTGATTTCTGTACTTCCAGGATCCTGAGATCGCCCGCACCCTCACTCTCATCTCTAAAACTATTCAGACCCTTGGCAGCTGGGGTAGTTTGTCAAAAAAACTGGTAAGGAGAGAAAGAATCTTGGAAAGATTCATACTGTGGTATTCTCCTACAATACATGTTCTAGCTCTGACCCGTTCATTTTTTTGGTTTTCAGTCCAGTTTTAAAGAAAGCTACATGTATGATTTCTACAAATCATTCCAAGAGGAAAAGTGCATAGAAAAAGTTAAAAAGGTATTTCATTACTAACAGCTGCTCTACTGTCCACACATAATTAGTTCTTATTTTCTGTATTGATTTAGTGTTGATTTTTTTTCTTGTAGTTTTTGGACGAAATCTCCTCCAACGTGAACAAAGAGTCCAGCAGACAGGAGGATGCAGTGGTTCTTAAGGAGGGGTGAGTCTTTACAGCACAGCAAGCATTCTGCATAATGCTAAGTTTTTCTTTTCTTTGACTCAAATATTTTCCCAGCATATGATTACAAATTATTCTCAAAGTTTAAGCTTCAAATCTTGTTTTTTTAATCTCAATAAAACTTGATCAGGAAAAAATTGAGAAGGAAAGAACTGATTGATCATGGATCTTATAAAATTTGTATTTTCTTCTTTTTTTAGGGAAGTACAGAAACGCACCCACGGAAAGAAGAACTTCTCTAAGAGAAACTTTAAGAAGCGATGGCTGAGAGTGACCAACAGAGAACTCTCCTACCACAAAAGGAAAGGTGAGTTTTAACGAAGTAGCTTCTTTATTTAATTTCTTTATTCAATTTTGTGCATTTTTTCCCTCCATGTCGGTCTCTATTGCTTCTAGAAACTGCCCAAATGATTAGAAATTTACATTTGCATGAAAAGTCCTATAGGGATGCTAGTGCTTATAGCATCTTACCATATCATGCTATATTTTAAAAATACCAAGTAGTAACTCGGAAGTTTTAATATATTTAATATTATGAATATATAATGTGTCCCCTTTAAGGCAATTGTTCTTATTTGATTTTATTTATTTAGGGGCATTAAAGTACTGAGGCTAAATAAAAGTGTGTTCCATACTTTTGAGATAATTGGTAAAACATCTTAAAAGATTAATGTCATTTTTATTCTGGTCTTTGCTTGTCTGTCCAATAGAATAGGGATGCACCAAAAAATACACAATTTTTGGCCAAAGGCCTTTTTTTTTTTTTTTTTTTGCAAACTGGTCTCAGTAGCACAAAATACCAGCTAAATCCAAACATCTCCATCACCATTTTGAATATAAGAATAATGCAACATGTAAAAGGAAACTGAACATGCCCACTCCGTCTGTGGTGCACATGCTTGAAAAGGCATGAAAGTTTCCCAGTGATTCTGCTAAGGTAAAGGGCTTAACAAAAGATATTAGTGGTAAATAAATATTCTGGTAAGTTTGCTATTGAGTTATTTTTAATTTATTGAAATGTCTTCAGTTAAAAAAACTGTGAGGTTTTTATAATAGAGTCATAACACATCGTAGCCAGAAATTATTTTAATATTTGACATAACTTCTTTCAGTGTTTCAGTTTTTAGTTTTTGGCCGAGGATTTTCATTCCGGTGCATCACTAATAGTATCCTAATGAAATAAAGATATTTAAATATATATATTTTTGTTATAATGGAGCAAAATGTGAATTTTTAAGCTGCATAAAGTTGAAATGACAGAAGAAAATGACGCAGCTCTTGGTGATTTTGTTGCTCTCTGGCATCTCTAAAGTTATGCTTTTTGTTTAATTACGTTACTCCTTTGTTTTCTGACAGAGTTCAGTTGCGATTTATGGCACTGCGACCTCCACCACTATTATCAAGATTAGTATAAACATGAACATGTGTTTTCTTCCTGACAGGGAAAGAGGCCCTCTGCACTATTAGCGTCAAAAACATCCAGGCGGTGGAGAAGCTCGATGAAAGTGCCTTTAACCGCAAAAATGTAAGTCATTATGTCTGTAGCTACAAGCATAAACAGGTTAGTTGGAAACATTTAATGCTGTGTAAAAGAAGTACCTTGTCTTTGCCTAAATGCAGTTTTTTTTTCTCTCCCTCCCTCTCCTGTGTTAGATGTTTCAGGTGGTCCACTCAGAGAAGCCTCTTTATGTTCAGGCAGGAAACTGCGTGGAGGCGAGTGAGTGGTTGGAGATCCTTGGCCAGGTCAGTCGCTGCAACGAGGGACGCCTGACGACTTATCATCCGTCAACCTACACCGCCGGAGTGTGGCAGTGCTGCAAAAGCCAGAGTAGCAACGCTGCGGGCTGTAAACCGTGCACAATGTAAGCCTTGATCCCACATCAGCCCCGTAAATAAGATGAGATCACCTGGAACCCACCAAACATTCTCACCACAGATCACAGTTAACACCCAGTAAAAAGAGCCGACTGCTGTTCTGTTAACTTTGGCCTCCTATGTAGATGTTGGCTTTTGGTTTTATCAGGCTTTGGAAAAATGGCTAATCTCTTGTCATCGAATAGAGGATATAAACATCAGTAGACCAGTTAAACACTGTGGTTTAAAAGTCAAAATATCACCAGTGATGCATCAGTTCCCAATTTTTCTAACATTATTCACATCATTTAAGAAAAAATAAATCTAAATTAGAAAATTGCATTTTTGGGGCACATTTTAATGTGAAACCAGTAAAATACCTCTTCATCCTCAGCATTTACAGCTGTTTTGAGAGTAATGACTGTTCATGCTTAGGCTGCTCTGTGGGAAAGTAACCCCTACCACGATGCTGCCACTAACGGGGCTGTATAGTAACATTAAATCATTCAGTAGCAATTTTGTGATTAAATATTACATCAAATCCATATTTTCCTGATGAACATTTATTTCGGTAGAATTAGAAACCAGGCATTTTAACAGTGTCTTTTACATTTTAAAGATCTCCTGGTAGCAGTTCCCCAATATTGTATAGAAAGCGGCGCATGAAGCCCCAAACATTTTCCCCAGTTGATATTTTTTGGCATCGTTGTTGGCTAATTATTTGATCTAACCAGTCTAGTTTAGTTTGAAAAGTTGATGCCATCTTGTCTCCTTCAATGATCTCCTTATCTTTTCTGTCCTTTCCTGTTGCAGCACCATGCTTGCCAACCTGCAGCTGGACATTGACTGTGACCGCGAAGCAGAGAGGATCTTCTCCCTCCTCTCCTCTAATGAATCCAAGCTCCAAAACATGGAAGGTCAGCAAATGTTTATGAGCTGATGGGTAACCGCTAGCAGATGAAGATCTGGTTCTGTTTTTTTCACTTGGCAGCCTACCTCTCACCAGCTCCCAGTCTTCTTCTTTATCTTTGTTCTTTAATACTTTATTTATTCTACATGTGCATCAGTCTTTGGATCCTCTCAAGCAGGTCCACTCTTTGTCAGATCTGGTATAATCTGGTGAAACGTGTTTTGCTCCCTCAGATGCGTGTGCCAGTATGGCGGTGTATCAGGGTCCTCAGAGGGAGCAGGAGGAGTACTCCAAGTTCACCATTCAGGAACCCAAAGAAACGTTTCACACCCTCAAACAGCTCCGAAACATCATGGAGGAGCTGCGGAGGCAGCACAACAGCAGGAATAACATAACGGCACAGTACGGAAGCCTGTAAGTCCAACCTTCTTTATACAACAAACAGATTTATAGTGGAATTTGTAATCGGCTTTGATGGAGGATTATGATTCGGCTCTCTGTTTCAGTGATAACCCTATAGTGGGGAAAACCTCCTAACCTGGGTGGGCAGGCGTGGTCGATACAGCCTCGCCAGCAGGGGGCAGGGAACCACAAAGGACCTCCAGGAGCTCATGAAGTTGTCGCCGAAAATGACGAGGAGCATAACAGACCCCTCCCTCCGACCTCCACAGATGTTATGTCCACTATGAATGAACCTTTTTTTGTTTTTATTTGGCTGCACTGCAGGCTGATGTTTCCACAAAAGCATCACTAGATGGTGTGTGAATAGGCTGCTATATATAAATATATATGTGTGTGTATTTTTAAAATGTCCTCTGTTTTATATCAACAGCTGTGATGATGATCACTCCCTCTTGGTTTTTTAATATTCTTAAACTCATTAACAATCATCACTCTGGAGGATCATCCTCTTGTTTGTGCCCCTTAAATCTTTTAGTGTCCTTCTGAACAAAAAAAGCCAATCTGCCTTACTGATGGAGATTTCTTTTTTTTTTTTCACGTTTAATACTGAGGAAACGATGCAAACGCACTTTAAATATTTGGAGCTGTCCGAATGAAAATGATTAGATACTTGGTATCAGCTTTATGATCATTACATGATCCTGAGTACATATTTTTTTTCTTTGTTTCACTCCTGTACAATAATGTTGAATGCCTGTTATATATGTTAAGATATTTTTGTCAACCAAAGGCAATCTCTTGTACTTAAGTGTATATATATTTTGTATACAAACTGTTGAATTTAAGACAGATTATAAATATTTGTTTGTCTGCTTTAACATATCCTTTTTATTGACTTAGGGAAAGCAGTTTTGCATGCATTCAGTTTTGAATCTGGACGGCATGACTGTGATAAAAGTCGTATCTCCTTGTGATTGTGAACCGTTATTTGGTACGTTGTCCATCAGTGTGCCGTTCACGTTTAGAGCCCCACACCCACATGGTCGACGCTACTACCGCTAGAGTTTTAGCGTCCGGCCTGATTAATGGATTCTCCATTGAATTAGTCCGACAATCACAGCGGCAAAGCCCATAATGCTCGTCTCTCACCAGCAGCACTCCACAGCTCCAGATGTGATGCTCTTTTTTTATTTGGAAGTAGTTTTTTAATGAATGCATCACCCTGGAGCTTGAAGGCATAAATCAAAGTTACAGTGGCTCCATGCTACAGAAGGTTGTAAAAAGTCCTATTAAAAACTTTGAAGAATAACCTGCATTAATCTAGTATAAAAAGAAAATCCAGTCACTTCTGCGCCCATATAAACAATGAAGAAAATGAAACTTGAATTTGTTTTAAGAATACAGGGTTAACCACTTCTTTGTACGTATGCAAATAGGTTGTTCTGGTCTGATTTCTAACATGCATGTTTTCATTATTTAACAATTTTTTTTCTTTTCTAAACTGATTTGAATATGTTGCTATGCCGGTACATGTCTTGTTAAACTGCTTATTTGTTCAGGCTGCTGCTGTTTTGCATCCGCTTCCAGCATTTCCACTTTACTGGAGTTAAATGCCACTTTTTTTTTTTTTTTTATTCAGCTTATGAACAATTGACCTTAGCGCTGAAGTTAAAACACAACAACAAACACAACAAAAATATCATTGAAAAGGGAATTTAATTAAATAAGGGATATATTTTCACTTTGTTTATTTTTTTGGAAATATAAATGGCAGCATGCAGGAGCCTAATTTCTATTCTAATCTGACCAAACTAGAAGGGAAAATGTTCAGATTAACTTGTCTTTGACAGAGACCACCCATGAAGCTTTTTCTTTTCCAATCACATAAGCGATGCATTGCTGAGCACTTTGTTTTAAGGATAAACAAATATATGAATTTCAGTTTAATACATTGTTAAAACTCATTTAAAAATTTGTAGTGCTTTACAAAAATACCTTTCAGACAGCTCACACTAAAGGGAGAGCACAAAAAATGCAGGATTATCAGAAGGGATTATGTTTTATTTATTTAAGTTTGGATTTTAGCTTGGTGTTTCCTGTCCAGCATACAGCCAGTTGTTAAGACAAAATGTTATTTTTTACACATCCAACTTGTTTCTGAATGTTCAGCCTCAGTTTGTCGCCAGGTTTTATACTAATAGAGAAATGTATTTCGCATTTATGGTCCATATTGTCTGTTCGGAATAAACACTTTGCCAACAATTTTCCAGTTTGTAAAGCGTCTGTGATTTGTCTGCATTATTACACTAATGCATCTCAATGAGATTAAAAACAAGCATTTATATTCATGAAGGAAATCAGAATATGACGATCACTGAATGTTTTATTTTACTATTGGGTTACCTTCTGTAGGATTTACTTCCATCAGGTCTCCCTTTAAAGGAAAAGTCCGGTCACATTCAGAGTACAAATTTCTGAAAGTACTTTAAGTATGAAATTATTACATACTTGTCAATAAATAAGTGTTTTTAATTAAGAGTATTTTTTTGAATTTGATATATTGGAGAAATCCATGTTTGTCAAAGAACACTACCACCACCTACTAGTTTGTGACGTCTCGGTGCGGTATCGGCTGTTGAGCAAGTCCCAGTGCTGTGCTGGTGTTTGTCACAACGCACTATTATCCATGATGGCGTTAACCAGTGCACTATGCGAAGCAGAGAGTAACGGATTAATGACGAGTTTTTTCTCTGGCCAGAAGTTGGCAATCTAACTGGTGGTGGATCATGAATTGGAGCGTTTTTTCCAGTTTAACCAGATGTATTGTAACATCCAACTGCCATGCACACGGGCATTATCAGTTTAACTATAGCTCTTGCGAATTTCAATTGTTTCAACTTAATTGTTGTTGATTTCAGATATGTCTAGTACCTCCCATCGATTTTGCTTTTAAAGCGGGGAGAACGGCGCTCGGCTTACCTCTCCGTGAAGTCACTGTCGGAAGATGTCAGGAGTGAGGCGTTACTATACTTGGGCAAATTCCTTAAAAACATCACCAATGTATTAGTTTTAGGTATGATTAATAATCCATTGATTAATCCTTGGTGACCGGAATTTTTCTTTAATTGAAGGAGAGCGTCCCCTTAGCATGCTGCTACCACTGCCATGTCTCATGGGGGAGAGCATTCAAGATAAAGCCATTATATATTATAAAAAAATAAATTGATTCCAAAGTGCAACAGAAAAAAGCCCTTTGCCTTAAAGCTTTCGGCGAGGAGTTTGCACGATAAGTTTCATTGCAGATGGCTACATTTCAAGGAAATTTGCCCTCTGCTTTTAACTATTATACATAAAGTAAAACAATATCACAAATGGAGCCTAGGTGGAAGTTCAACTGAAGAAACTAATTGCTCTCCAATATCCACCTAAAACACAGCCAATCAGCTTTCAACCACACCTCCAAGAAAACCAATCGACATCCAAAGTTCATGTTAAAAGGCCTCCAATCCGTACGGTCTGCTCCTGTGCGCAGGCTGTGGATACGATGTGTGACTTCATTCAGATGACAGTTTCAACCCACCTCCAGCCCCTCCTCCACCTTCGTAGCTAAAGCCTCATCAGAGAGTCATTCCTCCCGGACTCTTACTGCGTTTCCCGTCTCATCCCAACCGGTATGGCAGAAAACCGCCATGTTGAGCCTGGTTCTGCCAGAGGTTTTTCCTCTCCACTGTTGCTTAATGCTTGCTCAATCATGGACAGGTTCTCTCAACCTGTGTAATCCAACTGGACTTCTATCTTCCAGGTCCCTGAATGAAGCTCTAGCATCAGCTCCTGCATCCACTGGATCTTCCCATAAAGCTCAGAATCCCGTCTCTCTAACCAGCAGTCTACAGACTGACCAACTTCATCTATCTCCACTCCCCCACCAGTTTCAGGCCTGGGGGGAAACAGCCCTATTCTTTGCTCTGTTCATGCATATCTATCAAAATTAAGCTCTATGTTTCCTGCCGAGGTCTGAGCGCCAAAGACAAAGTAATTGTATCAATAAATTTCTCCTAATTGTCTTTTCTCTTTGTGTGAGTTTTTCAGATTGAAACACTGTTGTCTCTTAAGTACCTGGCATCTCCAAAATATAATGGACTTTTTAAGCTTCTATAGCTCTCAGCAATGGTAACTTAAGAAAATGGTGCATGGCGAGTATTCGTGATGTCAAGGTTTACAGTCTGTACTTCACTCTAGATAGAGAATAAATGAGTTTTGGAATATGAATTGTTTTGAAGAGCATTTTTTTTATTTCATGACATCCAATGTCTGTGAGATGCATCTTCATATGTTTTAGGGTTTTATGATTTAGAGCTTCAGCTGTTTTCTACATCAGTGTTACTTGTGTTTCTGGTAGTTCTTTTCCAGATGGCTGTAGATTTGAGCAGCACCATCATCTATGTACGCGTCTGTCGCATAACGGCATCTGCAAATATGAAGGCTGTACGGATTTAGCACAGAATACTGGATCTTCCTTTGCTACCCTAAATATCCTAAGAATTTAAAATGGGAGCTAAAATTTGTGCAACTTTTTGTTTTTCATCAATAAAGATCACTTATACCAGGAATCATGGTTTTCATCCTTTTTCATAGAAAATCTACAAGCCAACAAAGATCAAATTTAGGTAGAAAACAAGGCAACTATATAAAAATATGTCCAACAGAATGAAAATGTGGTGCATAGGAGGACTCTCAATGGGTTTGAACATGATTCAGTCTATAGGGAGAGTGCATGTTTGGAATTGGACCGTAATGACAGAGGATACCTCACACGTTAGCTGCATTTGATGGAGTCTGAGGCTCTTCATCCCTCTGCCCACTCATGGGGTCTTTAAGTTCTTTGTTATATTTTTAATAGATTTTCCCCACCCTATCCCTATTATGTATAGAATAAAAAAAAGCTTTTTTTATCCCATCATCTAAAAATGGTAGCTGATGAAAAAAAAAATCTAATCTGTTGTTTACCAGCAAAAACGTTCTATCATTTGTTCCTCTTTAAACTGAGCTCAGAAGTCAAACAACAATCTCTGAGATTGGGCCGTGGAATAAGTCTTTCTTCCCTCTTATTAAAAGTAAAGGTTCAACTTTTCAACCAGAAACACATCAATAGAAAGTAAGAAAAGATTAAAACATCACTAAGAATGTTTTAATCTATTCCTCTGTAATGCATTTAAATGTGGATCAGGAATGTTTAGCAATTACAATAATAAATGGTTACATCTACCTCCTATTATCAGGATACTGATTCCTTTAAGGTTAAATCTTTTTAACAGGGAACAGTTTGAGGGATTGCATGACTGCTGTTGTTGAAGGATCATGTCTGCACCACAGCGAGAGTTGTCCTCATGTCTCAGCAGTGCAAAGCTCCCTGGGAGAAGCCAAACTGAAGTCAGAGAAGGTTATGAAAACGTTCATGTAGAAAACACAAACATTATCCCAAATCATGCCTTTTTTTGACCCCTGAAGCCTGTGCAGAAGCCAGAATCTCTTTCACACAATCACACTACAACTATTAATCTGATGGAACAGGTAATGCTTAGGAAACTTATTCCAGTTGTTTTCTAGAAATCCTTTATGTTTCTAATAAACTGGGACTTTTTGTGTTTCAGTTTCCTCACTGATGCCCTGCAGAAGTTTTCTGTCATTCATTTATTGTAATTAACATGTTTTGCAGATGATACCATTGGTTGTTTTGTAACTGTGCTCTTGGATCAAACCTGAGAACAAAAATTTGATATAAGTAATCATGTTGTAAAGTTCTATTCAAATGTATTCGTTTAATGGAAAAACTAAATAAAATAAAAATAAAAAAATCACTCAATACTCTGCATGAGTAGACATTACGGCTTGAGTAAGGCTTCAGGCATAAATATTAAAGCATTTTATCAGAACTTTATATCAATGACCAAAACAAAGTAGCGCATAGTTTTATATGGATAACAAAAAAAATCTGTCACTCAAATGTAAAAAAAAAAAAAAAAAAAAAAAAAAAAAAAAAAAAAAAAGTGGAAAGCCATGTGCGCATTGTGCTGCAGCAGAGGGCCAATAATGACTCTGGAGGAGCTGTAGAGATTCCGTAAAAATTCAAAAAATATCCACTGGACTTGGTTTTCAAGATTTGAAGACGTTTCGCCACCTCTCCAGGAAGCTTTCTCAATTCAAATGTCTGGATCCGCAGTGAGTTTGAGTCTTATATAGACAACTATAGACTTATATAAACTCACTGCGGATCCAGACATTTGAATTGAGAAA